AAATGGTATTGTTTTCCTTATTTCCTTTTCAGAGGCCTCTTTGTTGATGTAGACGAATCCAACTGATTTTGTATGTTGACTTTGTATTCTGCAGCTTTACTGAACCTTTCTGTTAGTTCCAGTAAGTTTTTTGCTGAGTCTCTTGGGTTTTCTATGTATAGGATCATGTCATTTGCAAATAGAGATAGCTTTACTTCTTCTTTGCCAATTTGGATGCCTTTTATTTCTCTTTTTTGCCTTATTTCCCTGGCTAGGATTGCCAATACAATGTTAAATAGAAGTGATGATAGAGGGCATCCTTGTCTGGTTCCCCTTCACAAGGGGAATACTTTGAGTCTTTCTCTGTTAACAATAATGTTGGCTGTTGGCTTTGTGTATATGCCCTAGACTGTTACGTTTAATAATCTGCTAGTGTTGATGTTCTTCATATGCTTACTGTCCTATGATTTAAATACCAAAATTAAAAACTTAATTCTTATCTTCTATAGCCCTTTTTTAAAATCCTATTTTAAAAAAGATTTTTCCTATTTTGCAAAAGGTGTAATTCTGATTTGTTGTTATTGTTGTTATGTGCCGTCGAGTCGGCCCCGACTCATAGTGACCCCTCCTTGGGTTTCCGAGGCAGTATCACTACGGAAGTAGGATTGCCCAACCTTCCTTCCGAGGAGTGGCTGGTGGGTTTGAACCGCCAGCCTTCTGGTTAGCAGTCAAGTGCTTTAGCCACTATGCTACCAGAGCTCCTTCTGATTTAGTTGTGATTTTGGAAATCCCACCAGTATTTTGAGGCATTGTCTTGATTCCTATAATTCATTGGTATTTGTCCTTAGGATTTTATTAAAGACCCTAATGTTAATTTGATGCTATAATTAAAAATTAGAGTGCTATCTACAAAAAGTTTATTAAGGAGCAAAATTTTATTAAGGAGGAGAAGTTTAGGAATTTTGAAAGGTTTTAATTTCTTTTAGTACACATTAGACTATTTTTATATGAATAGTGCTGAGTGAGTAGAATTGCTTTTATATCTAGAAAACGTTAACAAAGCTGTTTATTAGTTTTTATGTAAATGCAGCTGAGCTCTCTCAATTATTTGTCATTGTGAGACTAATAAGTATTGTACTACCAAAATATAGCAATTCTTTATTAGGAAATCTGAGTATTAAGGATCATGTACACAAAAGAAATAAGAAACGTTTAGAAAAAATGTTTCATAACATTTCTTCATTTACTCATTTTAAATAAACTTCTTTATTACATACTTGGAGATTGTTTAGATTTTGCTTTCATAGATACAATTTGGAGTTTTATGACTTACAGAAGGAGCCTTGAAATGGAATAATACATCTGAAATTTTGCTTTTGTGTTCAGCTGAGGATGCCATCTGTTCATTTTGGGATAGATAGTGGTGGGGAAGGTGGGAAGTAAAAGCATTTTAAAAAATGTTAAGGCCTTAACCTAAAGTACTAAATGATTGACTTCTCTCCTTTACCAAGTAATAGAATGTATTTTATTTTAATGTTTAAATACACAAAGCATATAAATTAGTCCCATGCTAAACGGTAAGAAAAAAGGCTATAGATGGTCATATCTTGTTACCTAATTTTTATTCCTAATCAGTAGCATTAATGCTGTGCCATTTAATTCTATTGCTCTTTTTTGAAAGCCTAATTTGTATGTTGACACAAATGCAGAATAGATGAGAAAATCTGGCATGGTTGTGAATGTTTTGTTGTATAATATGTGCTTTTCTTAATTGTTCTTAACACTCAGCTAGGATAATTTGTTATAAATGTGTTCATGCCTTGCCCATAGCATATTGGGTAAAATTAACTCCCTACATTTTTATCATCATTACTGTTGTATATTTCCCATTGTTCATATTATTTAATTTTTAGCTCTGATCTCTAAAAATACAGCCCAGAAATTATCAAGCTTCTTTGGTGATTCATGGAGTGGAAGGATATTGAATGTGAAAGAGACTCCCATGAGTTTCTTGGTAGCAGAGTAACCTTGAGAAAGGCCACCCTGGAGATTAATGAGCTATGTTTTCATTCAAAATTCACTCAACAAACATTCATTGAGTCTCTACTTCATGCCAGGTATGATGTTAGGCACTGAGAATACAAAAGTAAGTAAGGTGGCCCTTGACTTCACATTACTGTTCAAGCAGAGGTTGGATAGCCACTTGTCAGAGATTTTGAATTAAAGAATTTAAACATTGGCTAGGAGACTGCACTAGGTTATCTTTAAGGAAGGTTTTCTTAGAACTTGTGAGTCTGTGACTTGCATAGTGAGCTAGTGCGAGAATACAGAATAAATAAAGGACAGAAACTAAAGAACAGGTGTTTAAAAGTAAATGAATGTGCTGGCTGTTACTTTATGGTGACACCTGAAATTTGGAGACAGAAACAGACACTGGGTTTGGATCAGGGAGCTCTGGTGGTGTCGTGGTTAAAGCATTTATCTGCTAACCAAAAGGTGGGTGGTTTGAACCCACCAGCCACTCACTCCACTGAAAGAAAGATGAGGCAGTCTGCTTCCATAAAGATTTAAAGCCTTAGAATCCCAGTGGGGGTTGCTATGAGTTGGAATTGACTCTATGACAGTGAGTTTGCTTTTTTTTTTTTGGTTTGGGGTTTGGATCAGGAATAGAAATAAAACATTTATAATGAGTTTTAACAAATAGAAAGATTTCTAGAAAAGACATTCTCATTTACATGAAGCCTCTCAGATTTCATTGATTTCTTAGATTTTGTTTATCCATGCTCAGTCATACCTCCTTTACTGTAGTGTTCTAGTACAGAATGCTAAGTGAGTTTTCTAAATAATGAAGGTAACTCTTTTAAGCACTTTTTTTTAAAAAAAAAAACAAAACAACTTTAACCTTTTTCATGAAATTCTAAAATATCCTAAATAGTTACCAATCTTTCTAAATGGCATACAGAATGTAACTTATGTTGATCTTAAACATCAGTTACTATGTTCTGTTGTGTTGAAAGCTGGAAGCAGTTGGAGTACTTAAATTATTTGTACTAAAACCCTCAGATTGTCTTGCCTTTTGAATCGGTGGGTTTTTTTTTTTTTTTTTTTTTTGCGTCTGTAATTCTCATCTCTTCTTAGATTGTCACCTCACATTTACCAGTATTTCTGGTGCCAGCAGCTGGTTCCTTTTATAATTTACTGTTAGAACTAAGCTGTAGGGAATCTATGTAAACAAGTGGTTTATTTTATAAATAGGTAGTGAACTTGCTCCAGATTCAGAACTATTTTAGAATACTTTATCAGGATTGTGAGGTTTGTGTATTAGCCTAGGGCCCTCACTGAATACCAAAAAATTATTTTCCTTGTAATTTCATAGTCTTGTTGGTCTTTCAAATTCTTTGCCTGATGATTCTTAACAAAAATGTACATCTTCCACCAGTACAAGTTAGTACACTTAAGGCTTGATTTTGCTTTGGTCATAATTGCTTATGATGTGGAGATCTGTTTTCTTTATTTAGTTCCTTTGTTCTGAACTAGAGTATTGGGGAAAAATCAACCAAAACAGTTTTCCTAATTTCTCTGTAGTTAGTGGCTGTCTCCCAGGTGTGTTGCATTATTGGGTGAGGTTGTCATTCCCAGCACACCCTGCCTGGTTGGTGAGCCTCTCAGAAGCAGTGTTCAGAAGAATTCCAGCTCTCCTTTTGTCTTAATACTTCCTTTAACTCATTCCTAGTCCTATTCTCCTTCATTCCACTGGGTTTGTCTGTTGACCTCCTGTCTTGCTCATCCTAACCATGCCTCCTTCCAGCTCTTCTCTTTTCCTTTTCCACTAGTGAATCTTGCTTCCCTTTTTTAGATGCTCTTTTCCCACAAGAGCAGGATAATTACTGTAATATGAAGGTATGTGAGGGGTAAAGGTTGAGAGAAGAGGGACATAGTAAGAAGCAAATCAAAATAAGAGAAAAAGTTAGTAACCTCAGATTATTATTTTTTCTTCATTTCAGAGCCTTAGTATTCTAATCTGTAAAATGGAGACAATGATACTGCTTTGGTCTTTTAGTACTGTTGTACCAGAAATACCACAAACATGACTTTAACAAACAGGGATTTACTCTCTTACAGCTTAGGAGGCTATAAGCCCAAGGTCAATGAGTAAAATTGCATAGTCCCAAGATTATCAAGCAGCATGGCAGGCTGGTAATGAAGAGACGGCTGCATGTAGGGTCCAAGTGTGCCAAAAAGCTCACAGACCTTTCTCAAAGCTGCTGCGTATCTACTGGAATCAGACCACATCCCTAAGGCAGCTACTTAGTTGCTCCAGTACATTCCACCATGGAGTTGATTGTTAGTCTCATCATGGGGAATAACTACATCCAGCTGCCCAGCCACTCAAAAACAGGCCCAGCCAAGTTTTCATATAACTACTACACATAATACTAACTTAATGGGGTGTTTGTTAGCAGTAAGCAGGGTATATAAAATTCTTAGCAGGTGGAGATGCTCATTAAGTTGACAGTTACCTTCCTCCTTTTTCCCCTTTATTTACAGGTACAATTCATCCTTCAGGGCTTTTGCTTTTTTTTTTAATGGGGAAATAGTTTACTGCTACATGTTAGCAAACAAAGTGGTTTTAAGTGTAGTTTGCGAAGTATTTACTGTTGTAGAAGGTTGTCTAGTTAATATGCTAACAAATACTGTAGAGGTAGCGTGTATATTAGCTAATTGTTGCAGCAAGAATAACAACTAGAACTTCTCAATGCTTACATTTGGAGAATAATATTCTTTGAAATGGATTTTTTGAATAGATTCTATAAATGTGAGATTTGATTAAATTATTTCTGTTACTCTGTAACAGGCATACTGAAACTTACTGTGGTGTCATAGTTCATGTAGCAGTCTCTGAGTTTCTTTTAAAGTAACTAGATGTAGTATTCTAAAGAAAGATTTCCTTATTAGAACATGACTTTCAAAGGATGCAACTATTCCTCTAGGTAATTTTTCCCCTCCAATTTTTTCTACAGACAGATGCATCATCTGGAATGGAATTGCAGTCATGGTATCCTGTTATAAAGCAGGAAGGTGACCATGTTTCTCAGGCCCATTCGTTTTTACACCCCAGGTGAGTGGGTATACATTCATCATTCATTCATTCATTCAACATTTACTATTCTGGGTCCTGGAATTCATTAAAATTGTTTTTTAAATAAGTGCATTGTATCTTAATAGAATTTTTGTTTGTTTCTGTTTATCTCTGTAGGGAAATTGTAGGAATATTGTTTACTCATTATGATTAGGAAAAATTTAAAGAAGAAAAATAAAATGTAAATTGTATTGAATATTTGAGATATCTTTTATTTGGTGTTTCTGTTTGTTTTTTTTTTCCCCCCCTTGAAATAAGTAATTTCCTTTCTGCTGGATTCTTGGTATTTTATGGTTTAATGACAAAAGTCATATGCTTGGAAAAGTTCAGATAATCCAGAAGTAAAAAATGAAAGTTCTCCTTAGTTTTCCTTCAAGAAATAAACCAACTCTTCAAGAGTTTGGTGTTTAACTTTGATATTTTAAGAAGAAATTATTTTAACATCCACCCAAATCACAAAAAAAAGAAAGAACTTTGATACTTAGAGGCTTTCAAGATAACCATGTTCCTCAAAATCAAGTTTTCATGCTTTTAATAAGAATACATCCTCGATTTTAAACTTTATATTTAGAGTCCTACATTTTTATCTGTTGCTATAAATATAAGGAACTCTGGTAGCACTGTGCTTAAAGCGTTGGGCTGCTAACCAATAGGTTGGTGGTTCAAATCCATCAGCTGCTCCTGGGAAAAAGATGTGCCAGTCTGCTTCCATGATCATTTACAGCCTTGGAAACCCTGTGAGGCAGTTGTACTCTGTCCTATAGAGTCACTGGGGCAGAATCAACTTGGATGGCAGTGTTTTTTGTTTGGGCTCTAAATATATATTTTCTCCTAGTGTGGTAATGAAGTCTGTCGTACTTACATTTGCCTAGTCATTACTGTACTGTGTTTGATTAAGTGTTTTGAGCAATATTAAACTTGTCAGTTTTCTTAGAAGAACAGTGAGTTTTCAACTCTAGGATTCATGTAATTGATAAAAAGGAACAATATAGGTATCCTGTACAAGGAAAATGAGATGTAAGAGATTATCTGGAGTTTAGGGGATGAGGTGTTGTATCAGTTAAATGGTTACATCTTCTGACTAAAGGCTGTACAGATTACAGTTAAAAATACGGTACTTTTAATTGCTACCTGAAATTTGTTTAGCCTTATTATCTGCTGAGCAATTTCATGTAAGCTTTGAGTGTAATTAGTTATCCCTCTGGTAGTATAGTGCCTAAGGCACTTGACTGCTAACCACAAGGCTGGCAGTTCAAACCCACCAGCCACTCCTTGGAAGGAAGGTTGGGCAGTCCTACTTCTGTAGTGATACTGCCTCGGAAACCCAAGGAGGGGTCGCTATGAGTCGGGGCCGACTCAACGGCACATAACAACAACAACTTATTTGATAAAACAGCAAAAGTATTTTAGAAAGATTGCTCTGTGGGGTTTGGTAGAAGAACTGCCCAGAAGCTGGCCAGTATTCATAGCATCTATCCTCTTTTTGAGCTATATGGGAAGGTCCCTTTGAGCTCCTCGTTGGGCTTGAGGTGATCTCAAGCCCTAGGATGCAGTGTGGGACTGAAACAGCGTCACTGTAGCAAAGAACAAGAATTCCTTGCTTTGGAGGAGTGTTGGGGCAAGAAAGTAGTGTCTCCCAAAGCAGCATACAGTCTGTTATCTTTCTGGCATAAACTTAACAGACTCGGCTGAGGAGCAGTTCTGTAGAGTGCTTCATGGTTTTAGTTCCCATGTGATTTTCAGGACAGGAGAAAAGACTGATTTTTTATTTTCTTTCCTAGTAAACATCTTTTTAGCGTACAGAAATTACTTGCAAAGTCACAAAATCTCTCGTAATTTTGCTCTTGTTGATGCCTATTTTGGTTACCTAGTGCCACTCTAACAGAAAAAAAGCACAAATGGGATGGCTTTAACAAACACGAGTTTATTCTCTTACAGTTTGGAGGCTTTAAGTTCGAGTTCAAAGTTCCAGGCTCTAGGGGCTGGATGAAAGCCCCTCAGCCTTGGGCTTCAGCTCTGCCTCCTGCTTCTGGCCCACTGAAGCTGGAGGCTTTTCTTCATTCAGGCAGCTGCTGGCTGCTGAAGCTCATAAACCCAAGGTCGACAAGTAGAAAGGCACAGTCCCAGTGTTACCAAACATGGCAAGCCACTCATTCAAGTCCAGAAAAAGTCTCAAGATCAGCAGGCTGCTGAGAGACTTGGTTACATGCAGGGTTCAAGCGTGCCAAAAGCTGGAGACTGTCCTCAGAGTTGCTTCTTATATACTGGAAGCAGACCACATCCCTAAAGCAGCTACTCAGCTGCTCCAGTGGATTCCACTAAGGAGTTGATTACAGATTTCACCATGAGGAATAACTATATCCACCTGCCCAGCCACTCAAAACCAGGCCCAGCTAAGTTGACACATAACCTTAACTACCATAATTCCTAAATGATTTTTTTCAAGTTGTTTTTTCTGTGACTCTTATTTTCTGAGTTATTTTGTCTCTTTCTGGTTAAAATTTTTTTTTCTTTTTTAAGTTTTAACTATAGAAATACACAGTCCATATTTTTATTTTTACTTAAATCAACTATGCATTGTGCATCTTACTTTGTTTTTCTTTGTTTTCAGCTACTACTTATACATGTGTGATAAAGTGGTTGCCCCAAATGTGTCTCTTACTTCTGCTGCATCCCAGTGTAAAGAGGTCACAAAGGCAGAGGCATGTAAGTCCATACCAAGACAGTCAGAAAAGCCTCACAGTAGTAGCAAACATCAAAAACTGATGTCTTATCCAGATGTCTCGCTGGAAGAACAGGAGAAACTGGACTTAAAAACAAGTAGAGAATTATGTAGCCGTTTTGGTGAGTATTTACAAATTATCTTCTTTTAAAAATAAAAGACTAAAATATCTAATAAACATATTCTGCATTAACAGAATAATAGAAGCTTTAACTTTAAAAAAAGAAACTTACCTTTTCACTCTAGTTCATAACTTTGAACCTCAGCTTCTGTCCTCTTAGAATGGTGATAGCTGTAGAGGCTAATGAGATAGATAATACATTGTTTTCACACTGCAAACACATTTTGTCTGATTTATTTTCTCTTCCTGAATTTGTGATCAGATTCTTTAGTAGGTCCTTATTTTTTTCCTAATTTACTATAAAGTGAGAAACTATTTAATTAGTCATGCTAAGAAGTATTCATAAGTAAGAGTAGTTAGGTATAGGACTCAAGGAGGCTTAGTTATGAAATAAAACAATTATTCTTAGATATAGGGGCCTAGCAGATAAATGCAAAATGCTGGCTAGAATCTATAAAAGAGTTGCCTACTTACAATTCCTTTTAAAATACTGTGGACCAAGCAAGACTTTACCACCTGTTTTACCTGCATATAGCAGCAGAATTTGGCTTACAGCTTAGGCAGTGTGACAGTTATTTCACCTGCTTCAGAGCAGTTGAAGAGGTGTCTGATAATTTGTTTCCATAAAGAATTGAGATTCTTAGGGATTTTTGTACTTCAGTTTTGAAATTTTAAAGACTCAGTATATTTTGATATAAATATGATAATTTATAATGTACCACTGTCGTTGTACTCTGTATTTTATTTCTTAATTTATTCTAATTAAGAGATTTAATTCACATACCATAAAATTCACCCTTTTAAAGTGAACAATTCTGCGATTTTTTAGCATATTCACAACTAATTCCAGAACATTTTTATTACCCCAAAAGGAAACTCTAACCCATTAGAGGACATTCACCTTCCCTAACTTAATAGCCATTAGTCTATGTTCTGTGTTAGTCTTCTTTCCTGTTTATAACTCAATAGTATTTCATGATATGGATGTATGTATTCCATTTTGTTTATTCATTAGTTGATGAACATTTGAGTTGTTACTGTATTTTGGCTATTATGACTAATGCTGCTATGCTACTATGAACATTCATGTACAAGTTTTAATGTCAACACGTTTTCAGTTCTCTTGGGTATATACTTAGAGTTACTGGGTCATATAGTAACTTTCTGAAGAATTGCCAAACTGTTTTGAAAGTGATTGCACCATTTTACATTCCCACCAGCAGTGTTTGAGAGTTCTAATCTCTCCACATTCTCGTCAACACTTATCGTTGTCTGCCTTACTGGTTATAGCCATTCTAAACTCACTGCTGCTGAGTTGGGTCCGACTCTTAGCGACCCTTCCTTGGGTTTCCGAGGAGTTATCATTACAGTAGTAGATTGCCCAGTCTTCCTTCTGAGGAGTGGCTTGTGGGTTTGAACCACCAGCCTTCTGGTTAGCAGTCAGATACGTTAGGCACTATGCCACCAGAGCTCCCATAGCTATCTGATTGTTGTTGTTAATGTGCCATCGAGTCAGCCCCAACTCATAGCGACCCCTCCTTGAGTTGCCAAGGCAGTATCACTACGGAAGTAGATTGCCCAACCTTAAATGCTCTCTCATTGTGGTTTTGAGCTATAATTCCCAATGGCTAATGATGTTTATAATCTTTTCATGTGCTTATTGGCCATCTGTGTATCTTCTTTGGAGAAATACCTGTTCATATCCTTTGCCCATTTTAAAATTGGTTCATTTGTTTCTTTATTGTTGACTTGTAAGGGTTCTTTATATATTCTGGATACTACACCTTTATCAGATATACAACTTGCCACTTTGTGGGCTGTCTTTTCACTTTATTGAAATGAGTCCTTGGCAGCACAGAGTTTTCCATTTTGATGAGGTCCAATTTATCTACGTTTTCTTTTGTTGCTTGCTTTCGGTGTCATCTAAAAAACAATTGCCTAATCTAAGTTGTGAAGATTGACATTTATGAATTTATCACTTCCATTTAGATCTTTGATCCATTTTAATTTTTATAGATGGTGTGAAGTAAGGGTCCAGCCTCATTCTTTAGCATGTGGTGGATACAGTTGTCACAGTACCATTTGTTGAAAAAATTATTTTTTCCCTGTGGAATTGTCTTGGCTCTCTTGTTGAAAATCAGTTGTCCTTAAAAACATGAGTTTATTTATGGACTCTCAATTCCATTCCATTATTTCTATATGAATCCTTATGCCAGTACTGTACAGTCTTGATTTTTGTAGCTTCGTGTAGTAAGTTTTGAAATTGGGAAGTATGAGTCTTCCAACTTAGTTCTTTTTCAAGATTGTAGTTGGCTATTTTGGATCCCTTGCATTTCCATATAAATTTTAGAAACAACTTGACAATTTCTGCCAGAAAGCCAGCTGGGCTTTAAAAGAGATTGTGCTAAATAAGTAGATCAATTAGGTAGTATTGTTATCTTAACAATATTAAGTCTTCTAATCCACGAACATGGCATCTTTCCATTTATCTAATTCATTTTTAATTTCTTCAGTGATATTTTATAGTTTTCAGTGTATAAATTTTGCACTTCTTTTATCAAATTTATCCCTAAGTCTTTTGTTTGTTTTGATGCTGTTGTAAATAGAATTTTTAAAAATTTCATTTATGAGTTATTTTAGTGATATTCATACTTTGTTACTTGAATTTTGCCTTTCAAAGATCCGTCAATCTCAAATAATTCTACAAGTAAAAAGAAATCCGAGTCTGCTACTAGCAACTTAGTCAGAGACACAGGCAAGGCGGATATTGATCACGATGCTGCAGTTTCATCTCCACTTCTTGTCAAAGATGTCATTTGTGAAGATGATAAGGGGAAAATCATGGAAGAAGTAATGAGAACTTATATAAAGCAACAGGAGAAACTGAACTCTATTTTGCAGAAGAAACAACAACTTCAGATGGTAAAATTGTTATCTAAATGATAGTTCATTATGAAAAGACACTGTTACATATTTTTAGTAAGAAAAATGAAGATGAGATGCTGCAGATGTACTTAAAATTGTTCAGAATTTTGCACTGGTCAACAATCTCAATATACTTTTACTTTATCAGAGTGAATAGTTTTTCAAGATAATAAAATCCAATATTGTATTATAAATGAGTTTCACATCAAATACTGATACGATGCCTGAATTTTAGGTATTTCTAGGTTTTCTTTCTTCCTGAACTGAAATTTTTGACATGATGCAAATAAAGTGAAAATTGTATTGTGCTTTACGTTACAGGAAGTGGAAATGTTGAGTAGTTCAAAAGCTATGAAGGAACTCACTGAAGAACAACAGAATTTACAGAAAGAGCTTGAATCTTTGCAGAATGAACATGCTCAAAGAATGGAAGAATTTTATGTTGAACAGAAAGACTTAGAGAAAAAATTAGAGCAGGTAATGAAGCAAAAATGTGCCTGTGACTCAAATTTAGAAAAAGATAAAGAGGCTGAATATGCAGCACAGGTAAGAATAACTCGGTTTATCTAATGTTGCCCTTGCAGGATGGAAATGGAAGCTATCATTTTCTCTATTAAAGGAATTACTCATGGACAACTTCATTAGGCTAGATTAAAAAATAGATGATTCTGTTAAACACAACCTTTATTATATTGTCCAAGATTATTTTTTTATCTTTATTATTTTAAACTTAAAATATTTATTATTTTAAATTTGATTGGGTTTCTGTAATTTCATGGCTAGATTGCTGATCTCTAGCTCTTTGAATAACAGATGGTATACATCCACTATTTACTTACTGACATGGTTAGGTTCTAAAGACCAGATTGTTATATAAAAATTGATATTATACAAAAATAGAGGAAGACCACATCAGATCACAAAAGAGAAGATAACTACATCCTTACATAACTGCCAAATTATATCATTAAGAGACTTCCAAACCACTGAGAATCATGACCCAGGCAAGTTGACACATAACCTTAACCATCACAGTCAGCATTACTCTTGTCTAGCACTTCAGTGTTCTAGCATCTCAGAGTTCATTACTACCAAATGTACGTCATTAAAATAGTCCTGTAGTAGATTTTTTGCTGTTGTCATAAATGCAAAATGTCAGGTAATGAGATAGTAAGTGAGGAGTAGGTGTCTGTATATTACTTTAATCTAGTGTATGGGCTTTTAAATCAATAAATTAACAACATACACCCTTGCCCACTGTGTCCACAAGCCCTGGGGCAAAAATGAATGCATAACTCCTTTCTTCTGCTAATTGTAGCACAGACTTAGAGGAGATGAGCAAGTAACTTACGTGAGCAGGCATATGTGATTAGAGTGACATGTGGGAAATAGTGAAAGTGCTGTAGATGGTCAGTTCTCTTGACTCTTTTCTTTTCCCTCATTTTAATGTCATGTCAAAATCAAAAGTACGAGATACTCAAGAGATTGTATTATGCATGAAATAGCTTATTTTGTGAAAAATAATTTGAAAATAGATCTTTGTCATTATGAGGATTAAATGGAGAAACAAGACTGAATGAAAACTGACATAGCCTTTTAAATCACACAGCTGGCAGAACTGAGACAAAGATTGGACCATGCCGAGGCTGATAGGCAAGAACTCCAAGATGAACTCAGACAGGAACGGGAGGCAAGGCAGAAGTTAGAGATGATGATAAAAGAGCTAAAGCTGCAAATTTTGAAATCATCAAAGACTGCTAAAGAATAGAAAACTTAAAAGAGATTCACCTCTGTACCCCTGACAGGGTTTTTTGTTTGTTTTGGTAATAGAATTGTGAACAACTTACATGTATGAAGATGACAAGGCATTCTATCCATTTGTAGATCAGAGAAAGTGAAAAATTATATATTAGTATATAAATTTTTACATTTTCCAAATGAAAATATACATTTCTTTGTACTTTTTTTCCAACTGACTTAGTCCTATATGGCTTCAACTAGTAGATAAGCTGCCTATATTTCTAATGCAAACTTTAAAAGCTGCCATTGTGTGTTGGGAAATAGCTGTGGTCAATTTTGTTATCCATATTTCAGACTCAGTTTTAAATACAGTGCTGACTTCATATTTGAAACATATAGAACTACGGAAGAAGGAGTTGAATGTCCTTTTTTTTTTTTTTTAAATGAACGTCATTACCGAAGTTGATACAGTATATTCATTATTATACACAGTGTTGCTTTCATTTTGTACAAACTGTGGGGTGAATTTCCACCAGTTCTCTTCTTTTTAATGTCTCCTGCTAAGACATTTTGTGCAAAGGAATTTAATCTCTGAGATTACAGCACACCCTGTGGGCACAATGGGGAAGGATAACATGCTTTGTTTTGCACTGCTGCTAAAAACAGTGGTTGACATGTTTTTCAGTTCAAATGTGGCTGTATTTAGGGAAAAAAAAATATATAAACATCAACTTCAGAAGAGGGAATAAAAAATAATACTTTCTAAACTTTAGTTATGTTGTTAATAGTGGTGTGAAAATACTAACGTTCTTGAGAAAAACTGAAATCATTGATGTTCATTGTTTGTTTCTAGAACTCATATTCCTCCTGTACAGTTTTTATATGTAGCTTTGGGTCTTACTGAAATTTATATAACAGATTTGTTTTCCTTTAAAGTGTAAAATATTAAGCACTTTGACGGTTATTTTGGACTTTTGTATGTTTAAATGTTAAGTCTTACCAAATTTGCACGAATGTACTATTTTCAATTACTACTTAATATTAAAATCAGGAATTTACAGTCAACTAATAGTGTATGATAGGTTAATATAGGAAGGTTTAGTTATCTGCTACTCTGCTACTAAAATGTTTTTAGATAATTTTTAGAAGACAAAGGAATTCCATAGTTTGGGGAGGGGCAACATCTGCACTTTTTTTTTTTTTTTTGGACACAGAAAATCTGTGATTCTTTCATGGCACATTTCGTATTAGTTGATTCTTGGTTTAAAAGATACTAGGTAAAATTCTTAATAGGACTTTTGAAGGAAGTTTCCTGAAACTAATTGACATTATCCCTTGACTTACATGTTTCTCATATTCTCTCGTAAGGTACTGTATGCAATTAAGAACTAAATTTTTTTTTTAAGTTAGCTATGGTTCAGATTTTTGTGTACTATTCCCAGGATAGAGGGTAGATGCTCTACTGGTATAGAACTTCAAAATCATTAGATCATTATTTAACCACTTTTCACATTTTTTTTAATGGTACTCACATATCCAGAAATAATTTTTGTACTTTGCAAAGTGTAGTTTCTTCACTAAATAGAGTATAATCTAAGTGTATGTTTTCTGTTCCCCATTTAATTTTTACTATGCTAACCCTGTGGCTAATTTATTGATTCTTAGAATTTCCTTAAGAGGAAACAGGTGTTGAAATGACATACAGGAACAAATGTTAAAACATGACATGCCCTCTCACTACCTTTTAGTTAGGTCTGGAGAAGGCAAAATCATAAAGACATTTATGATGGTAATAGTTTATTTTAGTGGTGAATTAGTTGCATGTCATGGCTAATATTTTTGGAAGACAGACTCAGGTCCCTATATTTTCATTTCTTTTTTCTAATCCACTCAACCCTTTTGCTTATGTTTAATTAGTAAATGGTAAACTTACTCAACTCTAAATACAAAACTTTTAAAATAAACTGTTTAATCTTTGAAATATGTTGTTTTAAAATTCTAAATGGTGCTTAAACACCATTAAGTTATTATAAAATCATAAATTTAGAATTGAGAAGATATTTTTTCTAGTCCTTTACATAATGCCACATGATATTGTACCATCTTTATTTTATAGAAGATACATTGATGTGCCATAGGTTTCTGTCTTAACTTCTTTGAAAATAGTTTTTTAGTCAATTATAAATATTCTATCTGTTCTAATTAAAAATAATTTTATGTTAAACTGCACTACATAGCTTGAAAACAATATAGAAATTTTGTAAACCTTAAAAGTGGCCTCCCTAAAATATTCACATAAATTTACTCCTTGCATGCTCATTTGTGTGTTGTTTGCTAGCTTGTTTGTTTGGACATAGTTTTTGTGTGCCAAATTCACCAGGTAGGCAAGTATTTTCCTCAAATTTTGTAATGTTAGTCTTTTAAGGAAAAATATAAAAATGTTTACTTTAAAAAGCTGCGTTAAAGAAATGGCCTATAAGAATTTGTGCTAGACCATCTTTAGAAGGAAGAAAAATAAAAATATTACTTTACTGGATAATAAGTCATGTTTCATTTTTGTGGTGATAGTTTCTTAAATTTATGAGAAAAACAGATTTATAAAGGTAGAAATGTCAAACCTCTTGCTGTCATTGATGAAGCTCTAAATCACCCTAATTTCCCAAATGTAGCTTACAACACTATAAAAGGATTTGCCCAACAACTTAAGTTTGGCTTGTAGTTGAGTTTTTGCAAAGCATATTCTTTGGCTTGAATTTCTGTGTACATGAGAGTTAGGTTGTTTTATACTTTTTGAACTAACTTTATAATATATTTAATATATTAATAGTTTAGATGTGAAATCATTTGTACATACTGAACTATAAAGCAGTTACTAAAGTAGGTAAAATAGAGTCAATTAATATTTGTAGGTTATCTGTATATTTTAGAAGTCATGACAGAACATCCAGTTTATTTGCACATCTGTGGCTTCAGTTTGAAGGAAAGTAAAATGATGAGCATACTCAAGTAATGTGAAAAGTGCTCAAGGCATTTCCCTAGAATTAATTGCAAAGCTGGTGCTGAAGGTTTTCATTCAGCTTCTAAAATTTTCTTCTCAAAGACGAGGTTAATGTTTTGATTACTTAGGGAAGAATTCCTCACTTATATTTGCTCTTTATTCGTTTAATCCATATGACAGGACATTAAAAAATGAGAAAATGAAAAGTTGTGCTCATACTGTACATCTGTTTCTGTGCTTGAAACTACTTGTTAATTTTTATTGAAGCTGTCAGCAATAAGGGAGACATAACTGCTGTATTGTACATTGTAGAATTGAATAATTTAAACAGGTTACTTTTTTTTCTAGTATTAGGATACTTACGCATTTCCACTATTGGAAGAAAATTGTATGGGTGTTTTATATGGCATCTTGTATAAAAGGAGTCTTTCTTTTCTTGTAAAATCTTTTAATTGAATTGCCTCTAAACTACATAATACAATTTGGAGCCTGTTTCTTTAGTAATAGAATTAAATGGCTTAGGTAGTGCTTACGTAGTGTTTTGAATTAGAAAGTGATTAAATGTAAAAACTAAAATTACGAAAAGCTCAGAAAACAAAATAGGGTATTAAGTTAGTTTAATGTAAAAGAAATTTTAAGATTTTTTTCTTCGATATAGATACCTCACTTGAAAACAAAGAAAGCACAGCAGCTTAAAGTGGTTCTATTAGAAAGATCCTACTAAAAGAATTGCTTTGTCTAGAATACCTTTTGGGGATTTATAGTTTGTGAGAAATAAAATACTTGCTTGTAACCATTCTTTTAGAAGTATTTGTTTATCCTGATAATTTTAAACCAACACAGTAGTCTTGTATGTTTTTTCTGATTTTCTAATCTGTTAAAAGGCAGTAAATGAAATACCTGTTCTGCAACTGTTGAAACTAATTGTTGACTACGTTGGCCATAATTCAATTTAAAAGTTTGCCAGTGATGTACAGTTTTATGGTTAAAATTGCTGTGGTTGGTTGCATTATATGACACACAAAACTGTCCTCTACCTCACGTGAAATAAATATTTTATATGGTTTTATAAACCAGACTCATCTATCTGGTCACTTAGTTTAGGTGAGCAAGACTCATCTATCTGGTCACTTAGTTTACAAATTTTGAATTATATTTATTGAAACATAACATACTGTGCTCTTAGCTTATACCTCAATTGTATTTCGTGCTGTTTTCCATACTCATGCCTTGTAAATAAATTGTATCGATTGTGGATTAAATTCCAAATAAAAACTTGTAATGCCGATGAAATGAATTCAAATTATCTGGGTGTCCTGTGTGACTTGAATTTTCTTGTCCATTAAGAGTGACATTTAAAGCTTTTGTACCTTTAAATTCTGTTTTTTATTATACACTATGTGATTAATTTAAAAAAAAAAAAAAAACCTTATTCTAAAACATGAACTTTCATGCAATATTTTAGATGATGAAAATATGAACATTTAGTGATGATGCTCTTTATGATACCTGTTATTTTGCTAACATTTTTCCTTCCACCACCCCTGATTAGTTATCTGCATAACAGATTACCCCAAAATGTAGTAGCTTAAAACAACAAATACTGTGTCCCACAGTGTCTGTGGGTCTGAAATCCAGGAGCAGCTCTGCTGGATATCTTGACTCAGGAGCTCTTAAGAGGGTGCAGTTAAGATGTTATCCAGGCCTGAAGTCATCTGAGAGCTTGACTGGGCTGGGGGATCAGCTTTCAAGTTCATCCAGGTGGCTGTAGACAGGGACTTCATTTCCTTATTACATGGACCTCTCTTCAGAGCTGTTTATGACATGGTGTGGATGGTTTTCTCCAGAACAAGTGATCCAGTAGAAAGAGGAGCAGTACCACAGTTCCTTTATGATCCAGACTAAGTTGCACACTTTTGTTGTTTTCCATTTGTTAGAAGCAAGTCAGTTAGTCTAGCCTCTACCCACCAGCCACTCCTCAGAAGGAAACTGAGGCAGTCTACTTCCGTAGTGATACTGCCTCAGAAACC